AGGGGGGGGGTCTCATTGGATAGACCACATTATATGTTTGATGGCAATTGGCAGATGCCAGAAGCCATCACTCACCAAACTGGTGCCAGACTCATCCTGAGCATTGACCTCTGACCCCGACTCCACCAGCTGCTTAATGTCAGCCATCATAGTCCTCTCTTTGGCGGCCCGAGACTCCTCGATCTTCTCCTGAGTGATTCCTGGTCAGAAGCAATAAGAACGAGGAAACAATACACATGGAGGGCGGTGAGAAGATGGCGGAATATCCTACAATCATCTACTGATCTGTGTCCACCTGGTCCCTCCGGGGACCGCCCTCATACCTTCTTCTTCACTGATCGGGGCGACCCCCTTCCCAAATTCCAGGACAAGATCAGCTTCTTCCTCTAGAAGTCTGACTAACCACTGACCCTTCACTGGTCCTCCACTGACCCTTCCACTGGTCCCCACTGACCCTTCCACTGGTCCTCCACCGACCCTTCCACTGGTCCTCCACCGACCCTTCCACTGCTCCTCCACCGACCCTTCCACTGCTCCTCCACCGACCCTTCCACTGCTCCTCCACCGACCCTTCCACTGCTCCCCCACCGACCCTTCCACTGGTCCTCCAATGACCCTTCCACTGACCCTTCACTGGTCCCCCACCGACCCTTCCACTGGTCCTCCATTGACCCTTCACAGTCTCTTCATTGGACCCGCACTGACCTTTCACTAGTCCCAGCTCAGAGAGGGGAGATACAGTCATGGGATGTGGCCACTCACCTTGCTCGGCCATGGCGGCCTCTATGTGGTCCAGTGTGACATCATCCTCACAGAGGTCATAGGGCATATTCCCATCAGAGTTCACAGCCAGCAGGTTGGCATTGCTAGGAAAGAAGAGGAGACCAGAAGTTCTGAATCATCACCCGTACATGACCACACACCCAACTCATCACCCGTACATGACCACACACCCAACAAGCTGCATGTTCTCCAGGACAGGAAATCTATTACCATTCTATGAACCATGTGACCCGAGTCACCCACCTGATGCAGCGCCGTCAGCCCGTCCTCGTTGTACAGATTGGCGCTGAATCCACTCTGCAGCATCTGGCGGACTACAAAAAGAAGAGACACCACAATGAGAAGGGGGGATCCGGTCAGTGATCGGGGTGTATATGGGGAGGGGGATCCGGTCAGTGATTGGGGTGTATATGGGGAGGGGGATCCGGTCAGTGATTGGGGTGTATATGGGGGGGGGGGTCCCGGCAGTGATT